CATACATATATATATATATATGTATATTCATATATGTGTATGTAATTATATATAGCCTTATGTATACTCCCCCCTATAAAGAGAGGCTGACAGAGTGGGGGTTGCTCAGCCTGGAGAAGAGAAGGTTCCAAGGAGACTTTATAGCAGTCTTCTAGACCTTGTTGTGGCCTTCCAGTGCCTGGTGGGGATCTACAAAAATGATGGAGAGGGACTTTCTACAAGGATGTATAGTGACAGGACAAGAGGGAATGACTTTAAACAGAAAGATGGTAAGTTTAGATTGGATATTAGGAGGAAACTATTTACTGTAAAGGTGGTGAGACACTGGAAAAGGTTGCCCAGAGAAGCTGTGAATGCCTCATCACTGGAAGTGTTCAAGGCCAGGCTGAATGGAGCTCTGAGCAATCTGGTCTAATGGAAGGTAACACCATGGCAGAGGGGTTGGAACTAGATGATCCTTAAGGTCCCTTCTTACACAAAGCATTCTATTATTCTGTGACATACACACACACAAGACCTTAATTTGAAATCAATAATTAGTGAAAAAAACTCATCTTGTGAGTTAAACATTTAATATTTTTGCATAAGAAATACCATCTAACTTGCCATTTGCTTGGTGTATGGCATACTTAAAGGTTTCCTGGAAGAAAACATTGTCTTTCACAATATGCATGAACTCTACACCATCATAGAAATAACACATATAAAAACAGACACAATCCACAGGGAAGTTTTAGAATTAAGATCTACAGAATTGTCTATCTTGCATTTTTCCCATTTATAAATGTAGCAATTGTGATAAGAACTTGGCAAATCTGTGTTAGTTATTATTTTCATACTTCGTTAAAAACCAAGTCACTGGGAGGAAATCTAACTGCTTTATGTAAACCCACTGGGTAGAAGCACAATTTAAGTAAAAATAAACAGTTGCTAGAAGAATAAATTGGAATAAACCAAGAATAAATAAATTTAGGTCATAAATTAGAAGAAAGTTTCTCATTATCAGGAGATTTGGGTAGTGGCACAGTTTTAGAGCCATTTCTTTCCAGCTTTCTAAATACACATAAAACTATTTTACTACAACAAGGGCAGCAGGGGCGTAGCACGAAGGAAAGCTGTCTGTTTTGGGTTTGGTCTTTTATCACCCTGGCTGTTACACCCCAGGTCATATGTAGACCTCTGTAAGGGAGATTCCTTGATAGTGAAAATATACTTCACATCTGGGGGAAATCACAGAAGGAGTACAAGAGAGACTCAGCAAGTAAGAGTTTAAAAGAGGAGCCTGCAGCACAATGCTCTCCCAGTGCCTTCTGAGAGGTTTATAAGGTTAATGCAGGAAATTACTGCAAATTGCTGGGCTAGAAACCAAGCATAGAGGAAAACAGTTGCCTTGCCTACACACAGCTAATTTAGGAAGTAAGGAAGGGTTTAAAAAGAAACCCACAAAATTTTCAGCCCTCAGTTACATATTTACTTTGCTCCAGGTGAGTAAATCTGACACAATAACCCTGTAAAACAGTTTTAGAAATTGAGGTCTTACAGCAGGATGGTTTTATAGAGAATTTGGAAGAGTTCTACATCTATCCAGTCTGTCCAAAACACTTTCCAGCAGGAGCAGCATAGTGAATAACATGTCACTAAGTCTGTTAACAATTTTTAGAACATTGTAGAGAAGTAAAAAAAGATAAAAACACAAATACCTTGAATTTGAGTATAATTAGAAATCACCTTAATGCAAGTGTAGATGTAATAAAACAAGGGAATATTTGCTTTAGTTAGAAGACAAAATACATAATCACATAGATGAGGTGATTTTAGAAAACTTGAGCTTTGGATGGAAAAAAACCAGACTGAGTGGTAAAACCAGTAAAATATATGGATACATTTAAGACTTTAATTGGATCCAAGCAAGGTAATTACAGGACTAAACAGCTGATGCGATATAAGAGTAATGAAATTTTTTTAAAAACAAACATACAAATAAAGGTTCACAGTAACAGCTACACATTATTATGGACTAATAAACTGAACAAGAAAACACACACAACTCACAAAAATAAGAGGGCATAGTAATTGTTCAAGAAGTAAAATGACAAGTGAATCTGTAAAAATAAGTGTAATCAAAGTGTAAATGCAGGAGTGCTCTGGCACTTTGAAGAGATCAGTTTCACAAAGACATAAATGCTCTTGGGATCTATAGCCCATACTGACTTTCACTTTTTATATGATGTTAATTTTATCAACTATATTCCTTTAAAATAGAGAAATACTATTTCATTATCCATTTTTCTTAAATCACGTTCTGTATTAACCATCCAAGACTATTAACCATTATTAACATATTATCCAATGTTCTTAGTTCTGTTAAAAATCTATAACTTGAGAAACACAGGTACAGATTTCTGTGATGTTGTCTGCAGCAGTGAAGATGGACCTGATAATTGCAGAGATCATGATATTCATTTACTGAAATATTGTTTGTCCATAACCTATCATGTAGTTCCCAGTGTTAGATACAAACAAACAAAACCATCTATTGCTCAATTAATATATTGAGACAGCTATGTTTCCAGCAGGCCCTGCAGGTTAAGAGACTTGATCTTTCCTCCCTCCTCCCTTTCCAATAGTGTGATCCTGTGGGCTCAGTTTTTATACCTGTATTACGACCTATCTTCACCATGAGGGGTGAGCTATGCCTGACCCAGACTAGGCAGCTGTTCACCAGTTAAGAAAATTTTCCTGAGAGAGAGAGAGCAGATTCAAATTTGTGTCCCTTGCCTAAGGAGGATACAGAGCCCAAATTCTTTCTGGAATGAATTCTGGGCACCATTTGCCATTATCCTTAGTGAAAGTGTGGGTGTAGCCAGTCCAAGTATTCAAACATGGCCTTCAAACCAAGGCTAGTTTCAATTAAATCTCACATCTTGTGTGCAAAAGAAAAGCCACATCAGCTCACACCAACTACTATGGCACCAGCTGAGAGCAGTAGCACAATTTAAGATTGAGAACACACTTAATTTACAAGCTCTCAGAGGTCTCCAAGCATTTTGTCTGTCCCCTGCCTAGAGGCAGATATCAAAATCTAATAGAAGTTGGACTTCAGTTGCATTTATTTATTTTAGCTCTAGATTTATTTCTTCGACCATAAAGAAGACTTAATAACCTGTATTGTTGTAAAGTCCATTTCTTCCAAGCAATGAGGGCCACATAGTCTCTCCATGGGGGCACATGAGAGTTTATCACTGCTCTCCTCCAAAAAAGGACTGGAACAGATTAGTGTCTGGCTCATAATTATCCTAATACTCATCAATTATAAACCACACAGATCTGTCATCTCTACCACAATCCTCCACTAGGAAATACCTGGCTCCCTTTGTACATCATGTCACACTATCGGTTACTCCATTTTATTCCACTTTTTCTGATCCTCAAAATCTTCCTTAAATGGCATTGGACTCTGCTTTGGTATGGGTTGTTCCTTATGGCACATGTTAGTAAGCATTTTAATGATATGCACCTACCCTACTGACAGCTGGACACACTGAATTATTTTTTCAATTATCAAATTCTTACGAAATCTTTAAGCAATTTAAATTTGCAGCATAATCCTTTCTCTTGTCCTACTTAAATCCCTGTATATCCCAAATTAGTCATAAAAATAATTTCCATTCTCCTCCATTAAGAACTGTTCTCCTTGGGCTATCTATCCACCCCTGGAGGCTATCTATCTGGCTGCCAGTGCTCAGTACCAATGCAGAAAGGGGGCAGCCAGGGATGGCTGCTGGGAAGGCCCAAGCAGACACCTGAGCCAGGGCCACTCCTTTCCCACCAGAGCTGCTGGTGGTTTTGTTCAAACATACTGTATCTAATCTCTCTTTCTATTTATTTCCATTTAAAATATAGAGATTTCCTTCAAAATTTACTACAAAAATCTCCTTACAGCTCCTAATGGATCTATGGCTACTGGTTTTACTATTTCCTTCACTCCTTTTAAGTATAGCTCTTATGTTTATAACTCTCCCACGACATTTTGCCACTTCTAATTTGTAACCAATTTCAATATTTTGAAATGCAAATTACCCAGCCACTCAAAAGAAAAAAGACTAGTCGAAATATTTGTGACTAACTCAAGAGAATGTAAAGTCTGGTACTTCAGTATTGTTGAAGCAAGGAAAACATTCAATTTCAACTGGATGCATTTCTAAGTTAAAGTTAAATTCTTATAAGGGTAGTCAGCACATATACTTTCATGCACATACCATATACTTGCATTTTTTTAAGGAGTTTTTCCATGTCAATATCCAAATTACTTTCTATGAAGTGCTTTATGAAATTGCTTTGCAGTGCTTCCTAAAATAAAAAGTGTTAGATGTTACATCAGGTTTATTTTCTATAAAGAAATACTAAAATACATATATGCAATTGCATTCAATTCCATTACCAAGATTCCCTGAATAACACTGGAGAAGTTCTTTAGCCTCTCCATGTCTTCAGTCTTCCCCTCTTTAACAGGTTAACTCTACACATTTCAGATAAAGGGGTTGGGGGGAAAGGGAATGTGGCAGGGGAAAACACAAATACGTAGAATGGAGAAATACCAGTAACAAAGATGCTTTCTTTTTTTTTTTAGACACTATTTCCCCCATCAGTTTTCTTCATCAGTTGCACATTTGGCTGGGAAAAGCAAAGAACAAGCAAGTTCCACAAATATTTTATTTCATACAATTTTACTTTTGCTTTAAAAAAGTGTATAAAGCTTGTAGGTATACCTACTGATTTTATTTCCCCTGTGGTCCAGTGATGAGAAGTAACATTGCTTTTAAGTATTTGCACCTCAGAAGCTTCTCAGTATCAGACTGGTAAGCTCAAAATCTAAAGCTAATGTGCCTCTTTTTTCAGGTCTTTTAAACGTGAAGCCAGATATATTGGAGAGTTTTACATGTATAGAAATACTGTCTAGATCACACAGCAAATAATTGGGGAATAGAAAGCTCTCCCACAGCTCACCAACCTGCAGCTGTGAGGCTGTGAGGGCCTTTCCACTGGTTTTAAAAACCTCAGACATCCTAAGCCACGTCTCAGAATAAGTCTTCAAGTTTTCCACAAAACTGAAAGTGAAATTAGCCTGGAAAAAAAGAATACGAACATTAAGTCTTAAGAAACAGGGAAAACTGGCATGCTTTAGATCTTCTGCAACTCCTTTCCATTTCACTTTGGTAGTCAGCAATAAGAATATCCATATTTTCTTTTTTCCACTTAAGAAATTAAAAGTATTTCTTTGCTATACCAAGCAAAACAAAGCAAAGTTTTCCTGTGCTGTGTATGTTTCCCACCTGAGGTATTGTAAAAACCTCTTTGTTATTATAATGTTTCTTTCATACAGAATACCATGGAGGTGCTTCAGAAAGACTAAGAAATACAGTTAGGACATATTCAAAAGAAAGTCTTTGCAGTTGTGGGCCTTTTATTCAAACTACCTCAACTGAATATATAATAAAAGTGAATATCATGGAGGTGCTTCAGAAAGACAAAGATATACAGTTAGGACATATTCAAAAGAAAGTATTTGCAGTTGTGGGTCTTTTATTCAAACTACTTCAACTGAATATATAATAAAAGTGAATATTGGAAGCATGGTCTGGACAATAGATTCAACTGATCAATCTATTTCAAAATATTCTCGCAGAGGAAGACTTGAGTAAAGCAAAATATTCTTTGTCCCAGACAAATATAGACTACAATTTCTCTCTTAGCAAACAACCAGCAATTTTTTCAGCCTGTTTTAAACAGATCACAAGTGCACACAAGATTAGAAAATATTGCAGTATCTTTTTGTTTAAATTGGTGTTATCAGTCACAGAAGTGCATTTAAGAACAATCCAGCATTGTTGTTATGGTAGAAATTGTGACATTTCCCAGGAAAAACCTGTCTGCAGTGAGTTCTAAACTCCAATTTGGCGGTAGAGATTGTGACATTTCCCAGGAAAAACCTGCCTGCAGTGAGTTCTAAACTCCAATTTGGGACCACACTTTTTGCAATAATTCCTACTGAAAGTATAAAATTTCTACCACAGTATCTTAAGTGCCTTTTGCAAAATCCCACTCTTAGAACAACATAAGAAAACAATTTGTGGTTGCTCTTTCCTCCTCTTTGTAGCCCAAAAGGCCCCAAATAGACCCTTGCATTTAATTTTGTTTTCCTGAAAAACATTATAGATCTATGAGACTCCCTGTTCCACTTCAAAGAGTGATCATTCATTAGGATTAAAGAGAAGGTGATCCTAAATGTTAAACTGAAGTCTGGTGTCATATCAACTAAACAAGTTCTGCCAATCAGAAGCAACACAGAAACCTCAGGGATTGAAATCCCAGACCTGAATATCAGGCATGATGGTGACAAGATGAAGGAGTCCAGGAAGGCTGCAAGGGTGGCAAACGGCCAAAATGGGAGATTGCTGTCTCCCCAGTACAGAGCAAGCACAGGTCACACCAGAACACAAGGAGATCAGATTTTCAGACATCACTAGAAATTGCTGCATCAAGAAGCTTGTAAGATCTGGGCTCAGTGGAGCTTAGTGCTTCTTGACTTGATTCTGAACAGCACAAAGGATTAATTTTTGTGCTGAAATCACTTTCAAAGGGCTACAGTAACTATAATGTGCTTGTATTCAACCTCCTGATACAAACAATAAAAACCCCCAAATTACTGCAGCACTTTTGGAAAAGATGAACTTTATATAATGTAGGCACTTATTTGAAATAAATCAAAAGCAGCAAAGCGGTAAGTTGTGTGCAGAAGGTACAGAGACTAAAGCAGCGTAGAGGAAACTGAATAAATACCTATTCCCTATCAAAAAATATTTTAGAAAGACCATATGCATACACACACTACACAGCAGGAAGCTATTAGGAAATTTCCTTAATAAGAATTGAAAGTTGCATCCAAATACGAAAATTTAAAAAAGACAAGGGAAAAAATGTAGTAAAAATATTGTTGTTTTTTCATTCACCACAATAGGCCTTTGGGAAGCTCCTGTGACAGAAACCTTCTACATGGAGAACACTTTGGAGAATCTGTCTCAAATCAAAACAGCAGTTAAAAAAAAAAGTCATACAATTCAACAAAATTTACAATAAGTAGTTTCCTGGACAAGATAACATCCAGCCAAGAATTCCAAAAGCACTCAAGGATTATATAGTTCAAGTACTCACTGTAGTGTAAACCTCCTGATTAAAATTCCCTTGTTATCAGGGAAATGGAAAATAACAAATGCAAATGCATAATGCTACGGGAACCAGAGAATTGCAGACTAATAATTCTGAAATCTCAGTAAGTTTTAATATTTTTATACTACTAATAAACAGCAGTAAACAGAATAGAAATAAATGCAGTTGGGATTTTAAAGTAGAAGTTGCCTCAGCTGAAGTGGAAGCACAAGCAAGTGAGGAGGAAGTGGTTGATGCAGGACATCTCACCCCAGGCTCTATGAATATTAAGAGTTTATGTAATCCAAAAAGCAAGTGGACAAAGTATAGCAGTGAAGTCCTGGCAAACCTGACCCCAAAGTTTTTGGAAATAGCAGAAGGTTGTTCTAATGGGATTGCCCAACTATAAGATTGACTCTGAGAATCTTCTGAAATAAGAAATACTTCCACAAGATCAGTACCTCGATGGCAAAAAAATAAGTTGTGAAAGCAAATATCAAAGACATCACATGTGGCCTTTGAACTCCTGGGTGCCATTTGGCACTGTTTTGCCCTCAGTCAGCACTGCAGCCTGTGTCTGCAATGGTCCACAGACCACAGACTCTCTGAATGTAAAAAACAGCAACCTCACAATTTATCCAAGAATGCTCAGTTACATGGTCTTGAAACAAAAATAGTCCATGTGAAAAATTTACAGAATATATCCTACTATACAAGCATCAATGTTCTTCAAAGCTTTCATCCTCTACTTTTCTCTTCTAGTAAATAACTCAGTCTAAAGGAAATTAGAACTCCTGTTCCAATTTCAGTAGAAGATTAGGCTGTGTAAGGGCTACAGGGTTGGGTTTAAGTAGCTATATTTGAGATACCTGGGACCATATTTTGTATTTAAATTTTATTTCTCTTCAAGCAATAGCTTATAGTCTTCTGTAACAAAACCCAAGAAAAAGTTGTTGAAGAAACTTTCCTGCTACTTTCATATTTACACATAAACAGATACACATTCATAATTGTTTGTTAGATTTACAGGTTTGGGGGAAGGGGCAGGGGTGTATTTACAGACTTCTGAATAAGCTGATGGAACTTCTGTGACTCTGAGAATATATAATGAGAATGAGAGCTTGTGGTAGAGGCATCTACTAGAATCTTTGTATTGTTTCAGAGCATTAAAAAAATCCCCCCAAAAAACCCCAACCAACCAAGGAAAAAAACCCCAACAAAACAACAAATAAATAAAACCCCCAACAAAACAAACAAACAACCCAATCCACAAGTAAACTTCATTCTGAACCATATTACTCATTCCAGATGTCACTGAAAGATCTATAGGGGAACATACGGCATCTCAAGATATTTATCTTTCTTACAGATGCTTTGGAGAACGGAGGTTTGACACATTAATTGGCAAAATAATGTGAAAATGTCTTTATTCTAAATGTCATTGTACCATAGAATATAATTAAGTATTCAAAATTATTTTGAATTTTTATCATTTCTTACTACTCATTCTTTATAGAATTCCCATCTATAAACATCAAGAGCAGCTTAATTTTTAGCTGATTAAAAACTTTAAATTAATCATATTGAACTCCAGAGCAACAGCTTGTTGCTCACATTGGGTTATTTAACTGCAAAATATGAAATCACTGAATCCTTTTTTTCCAATTCAGAACAGAAACTTTAAAGTTACCTGTATATGCTATCTTGTATGGGCTTTTTGGCTTTAATTTTTTTTTGCTATCTTTTTAGAGCAATGTCAGCATACCACAAAGTTCTTCATTTACAGAGGAAATAGTTACCAACACATTTAAAGTTTCTGTGGTCTTTTTGTGTACCACTTTCAAGCAGCAATTATTTTCTTCCACATTTTAAATTAACCCACATCACCACTCTTGCAACAACTAATATTGCAGGGTAAAATTCATATATTTGGAAGATCAATGCAAAATCTGCACAGAACTCTAATGTGTATTTAATATACATCACCACTCCTCCTCTTACAGAGGTCCCTCTAAGCTGGTCATGAAGAAACATGTCATAGTCAATAATCATGCTCCAGACAGAGCACTGACCATAGCAGAACTGCAGAGACAGTAAAACTGTTCAGTAATACCAGCTCATCAGCATTCACACATACAGCACCTCAGCCATGACTGGTCATTCTTAGTACAAGCATTAGAAACAATCAGGAAGGACACACTGTAGATTGCTTGTGTTTTTGTTTTGAAATGCTGCTCAGTGACTCCCTCAGAACAGGCTTTTGTTCCTGGGGCATCCCTTCTCCATAGCTCCCTATGCTTTCCCATTAGAGCTCCCATCATAAGAAAATGTTGAAGGCAAAAGCTTCCCTAGCATATATGTATACCCCACACCTTGATTCAGCATGATTCACATGACACTTTTGCCAATGTGTTCCTTTTAATCTTTCTATACAAGGTTTAAAGGATCTTGAACAAAATTCTGCTTTCACACTGAGGTGAAACGACTGCAACAAGTAGCTTAAAAGGTAAGAGAGGTATTAAGCTTAAAGTGAGAAACAGGTGAGACCTCAGGGGGCAGGGTGGATCTATTTTTCTGAAAGGCAATTATCCAATTGCTTCTACCTACTCTGAAAGAAGTGGACCTTTAAAATGAAGTGCAAAGATAAAATCAATAAACAGAAATAGTGTTTCTTTAGATACTCACCTTCTCCATCACCAGGTCAATCATGTTGATGTTTGAATTGTACAGTATCTTCCCATGTAATAAAGGCTTCAGGAAAGTCCAGAGCAAAGCCCCATTAGGAGACTGCAAAATCTCCTGATAAAGCTTCAAGCAAAAAGGAGCTGCAAAAACAAAGATAGACTCACATTAAATTAAGATGGACAACACAGGTGAGGTTGGATTTTTTTTCATTCGAAGAAAAGCTTAAGTCTTATTTTAGAGTCTTCCACAGCACCATGCCAAACATCATCCAACTGCCACTAAGCAATCGGCACAGGTCCCTGAATAGAAATTCTTCAACCACTGTCTGCATCCTTAACACAGTAGCGTTGAGGATGCAGAATTCTAAACACTAAATAGGAAAAAATAATCAGAATCCAAAGAGCTCCTCACATTTGTGAAAAGCAGCCTGTGAACCTCATCTATCCTAAAATTTACATTAGTGCATTTTAGAATGAATGAACACACGCAAAATCAATGCAGAGGGAAAAGTCACCTTAAAAATCCCAACAAACCATTCACTCCACACCCTCTGTTGCTCTGCAGCTTTGTATTCCTATGTAAAGAAGAAGTAGGAATAAACAAATTCCTTCACAAATACAGACTTTTTTGTTTCTATAATCTCAAGAATCTGCCTAAAAGACAGGAAAAAATTTCATGACACTTACTTTTTGACTTGAAAAATATAATCAATTCACTTTTCCATTTGTTCATAAAAACCCCCAAACATATTCCTACATCACATAGGGTTATTAATACATTAGGGCGTATGTCCTTCAGAACTAGGATGTAAGGAATAGATTGCAAGATATCCCACTGCATTTATACTCATGTAAAGGCAAAGAGTTTCTTATGAAGAGCATTTAGATTTTTATGCCCAGCTCATGTGTTTGGGAGTTTTTATTATTTATTATGAGTGGATTTAGAACTATCCCATTTCCAGTACTGCAAAGACATATCAAATAATGTCATTTAGTCCTCAAGGGAGACAAATCTTTTAACATAATGGAAAACAAGGCCAAACACCTTTAAATTCCTGACAAGAATTAAGGTGTCAGAAATGTTTGATTAGGAACAGCTAGTGCTTTGCCCAAATTTTTACTTCCTTCAATGAAGCGATCATTACTAAACACAATCATTGCTAAATGACAGCAAATAATTAAGAGGCTGCAACTTGGCCAGTCGAAAATGTCAATATGCTAAGGACACAGAGGACTTGCTAATCTGAGTTTGCTGTGATTTTCAGAAAGTCATTAGGAATTGTTTGGTATACACAAAATAGGTACAAATTAATCCCCGTGAAAGAGTATGCATCACATTTTTGTGGCCCCAATAATTTTTTTTTCATTTTTCATTTCCTCTTTTACAAATTTGTAAAATATGGGCAAGAATATTCATTTACTCATAGGAATGCTGGAACTAACTGATGCTTTAAAGATATTTCAGGGTCCTATGGTAAAAGGTCTTACAATGCTCCATAGTTGTGACAACATGTGAAAACAAAATTCATCAAAGAAACAGTGCTTCTGGCATGAACAGTTTTGAAAGATACTAAGTTCCAAACAATGTGTCTAATCAGCCATCCTGCCAACTTTATTCTTCAAATGGGAAAGAAAAGCAGAGCTGCCTGCTCACCATTATATCCCACACATGTAAATGAGAAGGCCAGGGCAGAGCTCTGGCTCCCTCCCAAGGGTCCCAGCCAAGCCAGGGGCAGTTTCTGGCTGTAGAAAGCGATAGATGACAGAACCTTCCCCAGTGACACCCTATCACTGTATTCTCTTGCACAGGGCCACTGAGGCACTAACAAGGTTATTAACAATATTAAAATTAATCAGAGTAAGTCAAATGTGTATTGAGGAAAGGGAGCAAAGGTGAAATTATATAAGAGCTAAGAGATTTTTCTGAGCACTTGACAAAGAGAATGGCAAAATCAACTATTAAAAAACTCATTTCATCCAGAGGGCTTGCATATTTTACTGCACAATAATACCACAGCTTTGTGTTCGCAGAAAAAAGGCAAGCAGCAATAAATTCTCAATCTTGTTTCTCAAAGATACATTTTTAATACCGAGTGCTTTAAAAATTCTAACAAATATGTCTCCAAGACAGGAATATTCTTATTTATTATTTGCAAAGATAGAAAACCACCAGAACCACTTGTGTCTCATCCACAATTATCTCATAGCCATAAAGCTTTTATTGATCAACACCTTGTGCTCAAGATTACAGTGTCAACTGAGATGTCAGCTGGTATATAAACATTTCGATTTAAGAGGGAGAAACTTCTCTAAACTCTGAAAGCATACTGCAACTTGTGATTGATAGTTTTCCTTACTTGAGTCCTCAGGCATGCCATATTTTGCCATATCATCCTGCAAGAGTCCCATGATTCTGGGCATGTCGATGAACAGGTTTGCATTGCTGAAAAATGAAGATTCTTCTTTACACACTGCCTTGATTACAGACTCCAGGGATCCAACAGCTGAACTTCTGAACTGCCCACCTTGCAAGAACTAGAACAAACGAACAGAAATACGGATGAATCAAAGTTGCTTTTAGTAGCTTCAGGGAGTAGTCCTGGTGTTCTCTCAATATCAGCATCTAAAGAGATTGACAAAATTAGACTGTTGAAATGACCTATAAGAATGACAGCCTGCTGTGCTCTTTTCTGTTCTTCTGACCACCTTTATCATAGGGGGTGGGGAGGGGAGGTAATGCAGTTTTAGTTGCCAGGATATTCAATGAAAGACAGTAGTATAATGTACTACATTAAACTTTGCAAAATACTATGTATCAGGCAGAAAAGCAATGAGTATATCAGGACAACTGGACTACAGATACCCTGATTCCAGCGTCAGCTTTCACAACGTGTGCTCTTCTGGTAGATTATTCCTGTGTCACAAAGGCAGCAGAAACAAGCAAAATCATTTTGCTACAAATGCTTGCAGTGAAGACATTTGCAAAGAAGAAAAAAATAAAAAATTCAAGTGCACATGCCCTAAAAGCCTATTTTTCAAGTACATCTTTAACTTGTTGAATGTGCTTCCAGTTTCTGCACATCTTGAGTCATACCAACCTTTATTATTGCCATTTGTTCATGACTAGCATATGTCTAATGAGGAAAGAGAGCAATCTGACTGCTTTTATGGCTTAAGCACCATCATTCACCACATTCAAATAAAAAAAATAAGATGAACAACAGTCTCATCCTCTGTGCTTCACTTTCCAAATAATGTGCTCAGTAGTAACTGGTATCTTATGGAAGGCTCTACAGGTGCACAGCTTTAAGAGGATACAACTGCAAGGCAACCTGCTGCTAGATTATAACTGAAGGGTGCATTGGCTCATCTGATACTCATTACTGTTGCAGATGCTTGTCAAGAAAAGAATAGCTAGACTATCAGACATCATTTGAAGACTCCACAACTGCCAAATGGAAAAAAAAAGACTTTGATGTGCCAAACACACACATTCAACACTGAAGTAAATTAGCATTTTATCATTGGAATTTTTTTAAAACAGAAGAGTCAATTTTTCAAAGTAGTACAGCACTTTACATAAAGACTAAACCACAGACAGTTTAGAGATTGTGCTGTTACAAACAGTTTATCCTGATCAATGCATTTACTGAAGTGCCAGGTGCTTCTTCAGTAATCCTGGAGGAATATTAGTGTCATTTAAAACTCAGTGTTAGCTGCTCCTCAAAATCTGACTTTTAACATACGGTTTCAGCACAGAACATAGTAAGTAAATAGTACCCAGATTTCATAACACCATCATCTACAGCCCTTGATTGAATCTGCTGGCATGGACTTCACTGGAGAAATAAACTTTATTTATGCACAATGCTTCATAAAAGTGATTTTGAAACCTTATTAGTGACTATATACACTAGAGGGATAAATGGGCTTATTTCAGTCAAAGAGCACAAACTTGCTAATTAATTCCAGTTCCAATCAAAATAACTTGAAATTCAAATAATGAATATTTATGTGGTAAGCTGCCACTAACAAACTGAATCTACTTACTGTCTTTCAACTAAATATCCACTGACTCAAAAATATATATTTTCTAAAATTTGGCTTTGATAAAGTGGAAGAACCATATAGGATGGATGTTCGCAAGAGTTATCTTTGATCCAGTTGTTCTAATTTAAACTAAATAAAGTAGGACTACCATCAAGACTGATGAATCCAAACAATCAGCATCCTACAAGGTAATCAGTCAAGCAGTCACTCTAACAAATTCATGGAAGAGGAAGTTTGCTATTGAAGCCTAATAGGCTGTTCAGCAATGACAGGTTTAACAGATAATTTCTTCAAGTTATTGGAAGGATATACAGAGTGAGGCCACCTCTCCCAACTGACAGCATTCAACAACTCAGGAAGTGCCCTCCAGCTTATCTATTCATGAGAGACAAACATTCCAAAAATTAGGTATGGAAATATAAGCAAATAATTTCAAACAGCAAACAAACAAGCAAAAATCATGATTGAAATCAGCAGTGTTTTTCCTCAGGGAGCTATCCATTCACTCAGTGCTGTCAACAGTAGAATGTGGTTTCATATTCCAATTACTACTGGATGGCAGATACTGACTTTTTACATCATCTTTTATTACACAATATGTAGAATATTAATTCAAGTTCATCTTTTACAGATATAATAAAGGTATGTCTTCCTTATATTTTTTCTTTCAGACAAAAAATCCACATGCATAATTGACCATTACTTTATTACCTCTTTCATTATGTAAGTCATGAATGTTTTTTTTAAAATCAACTTCAAAATAACTTTTTTCAGATAGAAGCTAATGAAGGAGAATCTTTCTTACTCTGTGCTGAAGGTTTGTATATTTATACTTTAAAAACCTTTACATTCTTTATTTGGTAATCTTTCTAGGTCACTGAACTACTTAGCTTTGGTTACCACGAAACAAAAATCCAGAAGGATGGACTCTTTTGGAAATAGAAGAAAGCATTTAAGGAGTGAAGGGTATGAACAAGATCTGCACTTTAGCAGCACACTTACTCAGTCACAAAAGTTTGGCCACCATAGAAAGGAAGTAAACAAAGTAACCAGTAATTAAAAGTATTACTGGAAAGTTGAAAAAATGTCTGTAAAACCTAAAAAGGAAAGGATACTTAAAAATAAACAACTTTTACTAGTGTACAGAATAAAAAAAAGAAGTTACAGAGATAGAATAGCCCTTGAAATCAAATATCTAATTTATTTACAAAAGAAAGGCACTATTTTAATCCTCCACAAATTATTAGGTGATGAAGAAATCCCATCAATTTCTCAAGAAAAAGGGATTTAACAAAACCTGAAAAAGTAAAGATTGTGTTTAAAAAAGTGACCCCCAAAAGGTAAAATCTAAAAAGGAACAAAAGTTCCAAGGATAAATATATATATTACTGGCTCACAGGGGCAGTTGTGGAGCAAGGATCAAAACTGTGAGTAGATGGCCCTCTGCTGTTCCATTTCTTCCTTTGCAAAATTTTTTTGAACAGCATCTTTTGAGAGGCTCTTCTATCCCTCCAAAAAAAATAAAAAGTTGGTATTTCAGTCCAAAAAGAATACTTCATTTGTTGGAAGGAAAGTCTGACACAAACAGAACTAGTTTAAGGAAAGCAGAAGAGACGTAAACATCTGATGAACATTTGCCATTCATTGTGGCAACCAAAGAGATACCACAAAGAAGAAAGGCTCAAACCCAAAACTAATATGCACCAGAACAACATTTTTCAACATGTATCTATCACACAGATTAGAGGATCTTGAAAAGGATCCATGTCACTATGGAAAATAGTATTTAAGGCAGTGGTTACTCTGTACTGTAGTCGTCAACCAGATTGTACTGTGTACCACTGAGGGATCTTGTAGAGGTTTGCAATTCTCAGGTCTCCACACAGGATAGCAAACCCAGAAGGTAATGCCATAAG